CCCTTTCGTAGAATTGTAGGTGGGTTTAAACGTCTTAAAGTTAAATATTTTTGAAGCCTAATTATAGAGCTGCAAACAAATCGGATACAATTCGGATAGGGCCAGGTATGTCCAATCTAACCCAATAAGAATCTAAGAGATCCATAAATTCAATCTCATATAAAAAAATATTTGAATTAGTCGGTTATGTCCAATTAGAATCCATTTTGATTAAAATAGCAATAGCTTAATATAAAATTAGTATAAATCTGTAATTGTATAAAGCATACACTTGCATTGGCTCCATGCAAATTATAAAAGTTAAATCAAAATACATATATTACTTAATTGTACACGTGCTCTTACACTAATTTATAAACTTTATATAAGTCCCAAATTAGAATTAATTCTAAGGATTTTAAATACTAGAGAATTTCTACTTGAGAAAATCGTATCCTATCTTCTTACGAAAATGCATCTAAAGAGTAGTTCATTCTATTCTCAAATATAAACCTTCTTCCTAATACACATTATCCACTTTTCAAACAAAAAATAAATAAAAAATACCAACTTCAAACACATGTGGTTACCTATAAATGACAAAAATGGTAGGGATCACACCATTTGCTCAATAGACTAATATAAACTGCAATCATGCTTATAACTTTGTATGTGAAGCAGAGCTCAGATGTCTTATATGTACAAGAGAGCTAGACAAATGATAGTGATAATGCCCAAGAACATGCACACAGCCATAAGAGCAAAGCATCCTTGCATATAAAGGTGCAAAGCTGAAAAGCAAGGGAATCTCAGGGCCTGTTTGAGAGGGCTGAGCTGAAAATTTAATTAAACTAGTTCAGCTGCTTTAAAACCCTTAGGTTAAACTATTCAAAGAAGCTGAAGTGGGCAGTCCTTCAAATGACCGACAACTGACAGTGGCTCGATCTTCCCCCAAATTGGGGCTCCAAGTAGGTTATTGAAATAAGAGCAGAAGACCCACCCTTTCACCAATTAATTTAAATTTCAATGTTAGTTAAGATTATAATGAAAAACACTATTATTACTACCACATTAATTATTCATTACTGCCATTTTATGGTTATTAGCAGTAATGCTATTATGTGCACCAAAGTGCCTTGATAGTTTGGTTTGAAATCAACCCCCCAACAACCAACATCTTCTAATTACGGTTTCATGGAGATTTCCGACTTTGAGAAGGTAAGGAGGTGTTGGGTAATATGAAGTTATTAACAATATGAAACTCATTATATGTTTAGTTTGTTAAGTCAACAAATATGGTTGGGAAATGTTTTTCAAGGATAATTTTTATTTTTGTTGTTTGAAAGCAACAACTAGAGGATGCTTCACAGCTTATTCATCAAATCTCTAACAACTAACCCCATATTCTTTTGTCTCTCGTTCTGTTGTCCCTTTTAAACTCCACCCGTGGAAATAAGGATGCTTACTTGCTTAGGCTTCCTTCCAAAGTTGGTACATTAATTTAGCTTTTCTTATATAGATCGTACATTAATGTAGCTTGAATCTCCCTCTTTAGTCCTTCTGAGGTCATTGTGAAAGGGCAAGCCATTGAAGCAATAGTTGTCATGAGTTTCCGAGTTCTAAGAGTGGATGAATCATACATAATAATAATGCCGTACGGGGTTCGAAAATTAGGTCATCCATGAGAGATACTGATGTGATGCCTTAGAATCCATGAGAGATACTGGTTTTGGCGTATCTGGCAAATCGATATAACTTTTTAGTGTTTATTTATTTATTTATTATTATTATTTTTTTGCAATTGGTTCAAGGGAATCGGTTTAGGCCTCCTCCACACCCTGAACTGGTCAGACCCTCGATATATCCACTGTAGGGACGTATCGGAGGGGTCCTAGAATGATACGTATCAACCAATACGGGCCGATACACGTCGATATTTTGAACCTTGCTAAGAACATAAGGTATCTTCACTTGAATGAAACACCTATAAACAACTAGAAGTCACCAAACCAGGGCAAGAGACTATTATCAAATCTTTAGTTTATCTCGTGATGCCACATGGCTTTTATTAATACTCATTATTATTGAAGCTTACTTAACCAATGTTCCTAGGTTTCAAAACAAATGCTTCATAGGACAGCAATTCTTAGTGATTTTTTATCAAGCATAGTGCCAAAAAAAAGTAGAAAATAAATAATCATATCTTATCTGTCTCGGTTGGCATCTTGTCAGTTTAGTTCTGGATAAACCCATCTAAGGGGGTGTCATTTTTTTGGATTTTGAGAAGGGAGAAATTGACCAAGAAACCCATGTTCTTTTTTAGATTTATGTGGGGACCAGGGAAAGTTTATTTTCCAAAGTATTACTTACTCGGATAAGTGATAGCCATCTCCTAGGTGGATAGATAACTTTACCACGGGGGAAAGTTACAAATACTTGAATGGGGCAAAAATACCTCTACCTCTTTTAATAATAGATTTTTATGGGTAAAATGGTCATTTCCTTATTTACATGAAAAATAAAAGAAATGGGTAAATGTACTTACCTGGGAAAAAGTGTTTCCAAGAAAAGACTTACCTGGATAAATAATTTATCAAAAAACGAACAGAATCTAAAAGTTATCCAAATTGAAGTAATTCATATCCAATAGAGGCCCCAACTACAGCATCCTAACTTCACCAGCTGCTGTTGTTGAATAGATGTTTTGTTGAAAGCATAGAGTTTTGTTTGGTTGCATAGACTATGAACTCAATTAAAACTCAATGGGGCCAGTGATGTATTGTAATCTTGTACTACCATGATAGTTTCAGGTCAGTGTCTTTTTTCCGTCTTTTGGGGCAGTTCGCATTTCTGTCTCTGAAGGAATTGCATCTCCGTGTTTTCATGTCGTGCAAAATGAACTTGTTTATTATTTTTTTGGTAGAAAAAGCATCTATATAAATCAAGGTAGAATTGATTGCTTTTAACTCTGAACTATTTCTGCAATCAGCTGAACAGGCGATCTGTAGTTTCGAATAATTATGTCTACAGTTTTCGAATATATATATATATATATATATATATATATATATATATATATATATATATATATATATATATATATATATATATTCACAAAAAAAAAAAAAAACTTCAAATTGGTCAGAGAACCTCTCGAAGGAAGATTACCAGAGAAGGAACTCTGGAAAAGAGGCCACCAATAGAGAAATAAAACATAGAGAAAGCCCCATCCATTTCTATCGTTTCAATTGTTTGCATGGGAACGAAATAAAACAGGGTCAGAAGCCTCGAAAACACCTTGTACTTTTGTTATTTCATTTATGCGGTGACAAAAACGTAAAAGAAAGAAGAGATGTGTTTCAACTTTCAATTGATCTGGGCATCCGTCCAAGTGAGAGTGAGAGTTCAAAGTTCAAACCCGCATAAGCACAAGGATGGGCTCTCTGCATCAAGAATGTGAGTTGAGATCTTCTGCCAATAAAACACGTTCCAATCCTCTACCAACTTGATCTAACACCGTACATCTCACCATGAGACTGGGACCCACCATGTATGAGATCTGCACTGTAAAATCATGTTAGTAGAGGATTGGAATGCGTTTTATTGGCAAGTGATCTGGACTCTGAAAATGCTAGTTCGGGGTGCAATTCAGGTTGGCCCAAGTTAACATTTTACACAGATTCGAGATAGACTTTCCGTCCAGGTCCATTCAGAAAACCCAACTCAATCCAGCTCAAGTTGCACCCATGTCTTACTACCGCTAAGCTTAGTAATTGGGTCAAGCATATAACACCCCATTCATACATAGGCCGAAGCCACTACAGCAAAGCCCGTGGGAATTCGAGTTTGGATTTTCTGGTCCTCAAGCTGGTACCAAAACCCTGATCTTATTTTTCGTGTTGGGCACAGGCCTAACCCTTAAGTAGCCTGAGCCAGATCTTAACCCATCACTAACCCAACCTGAGTCCTGTCCAACCATACACTTACAGACACACATGCGTAGATATGTACATGCATAGTGCATATATAAAAAATATATAAATTTCTTATTTAAAGGTTTAGATTATCGATACTAAATAGGTTTATGCAACTGTATAATACATTGGGCCTAATAGGTCCAGATAAGCCCAATTGATCAGTCAAACCCCAGCAACCCTATGTCAAATTTCGGTCTGATTGAACAGATTAGACTTGACCTTAGACTTATTCCAGACTCAAGACCTGTGCCCAATTCTTAAAACTGGGCCTGAGTTGATCTTAAACCCATCAAGCACCCCGGATTTACACCCCCTCGGGCCTCGGCACATGAATGAGATGCAAATGCAATATGATAAGACCCAGTTGGCAAGGTTAGTGGGTTAATGATGACAAAGATACATACGGGCCCATTGGCATTCAACAAAGTTCAAATCAGCCCCCACAAGACTACTCCCCATAACGTCCAGCACATCCCGCTGTGTTTCAAATGATGACATTATCATTTCGAGATGTTCTCAATACACGACTGAGATATGCTGTGAGACATTGTGGGACAGTCTTGTAGGGGGCTGATTTGATCTTCATGCGGGAAGCCAGCTCTTCCCCAATCCCCACAGGTTTAAACTCGTGCCTAGAGGGATGCCAAATGACCCCACCCTACCCATATGATCTGCCGAGTGAAGTCTCATGGGTAGATGTGGGGTGTCAGATCATATTGATAGTGTTGGAACATGTGATGTTGGCAGAAGATTCGGAGTCCAACAAGTGAACAGCTGAGTCATTAAATTTCTGAGATCAAATCAGTCACCCACAAGATTGCCCCCCACACTGTCCACAGCACATCTTTGCCGTGTATTGGAAACATCTCTGCTGTGGGACATTGTGGGGGTGGGGGGGGGGAATCTTGTGGGGGCTGATTTGAACTTAAAATTTTTTTTTTTAAATTATTTATAAGCCTTGAAATTAGTATCATTGTGTAACAACTTACAAAGAAACGTGGATTGAACAGGTGTCGATTCTTTGTAACTTGTAAAACGTGGAGCCGTGGCAAGTTCGGATTAATCATCATAAACGTTGCAAAAGACAATTTGGTAATAATTCTAGCAAAGAAGGGTATTATTTGTCTTTTCAATAATCAAAAAGAGACAAAAAAAAGGGAGAGATAATGCACCTGATTCGTCTGGAGACGAGAGGTTCAAAGAGACTGCAACTTCTTAAATTTGCATTTCTTGCAGCTACTTTATCCGAAAAGAAGACGAGATGAACGCTCTCAAAGCCATCCAAACCCCCTTCTCTCCCACTCTCAAATTCATCCAAACCCCCTTCTCTCCCACTCTCAAATTCATCCAAACCCCCTTATCTCTCACAATAAACGTGTTTGTTTACAAAAAGAATCATCTGACCAAGAAGAGGATTTCCATCCTTCCTCTGTCTAAGGCCTCTGACGCTGGATCAGAGTCCTCCCCCCCTCCCGAAGGAGATGCCCGGAAGCAAGAACTACTTGCTAGAATTGCGATGCTTCAAGCCCAGAAGGTCCGACTTACAGATTACTTAGATGAGCGCTCTGCTTATTTGACCCAGTTTGCAGAAGATGCTAATGCTGAGTTTGATGAGATTGGGGAAAATGCTCTCAAGGATCTTGATGAAGCCGGGGCACGGGTCCGTTCATCTTCCCTTTTTATGTCCATCCAATGCATAGGGAGCAGGGGTAGTTTGCCAAAAACTTTTCCTTCCTGTTGATAACCAGTTCTTCGCTTTTTGATTAGCAGATAATGGAAAATCTTGAGAACCGGATGCAAGCCCTCGAGGAAACTGCGGCATCGAACAGACAGGAAATTGCGAAGAATGAGAGGAAGTTAGTAGAGTTTGAAGATCAAATGGAAAAGGACAGGAATGAAGGGCTGTTCTTCAAAAATCTGAGGCAGAGAGCACCTGGACAACGAGCTAAAGCAAAAGAGGAAACAAAAAAGATTAGAGAACTTACTAAAGAAAATGCTGGATCGAAAATCAGGAGGAGCATTTATCTTGCATTAATAGCTTTGTTGGTCATTGTCATTGCTGATGCTTTGATATCTACTTCGTTGGATTGGAGAAAAGTTGCAGTTTTGGGGGCTATTCTGGTGGGTTTGTTTGCTCAATTCACCTATGAGCAGATGATGTCATCAACATCAGAAAGAACAAGAAAGGAAGAAGAGCAAAAGTGAGGTAGATGAAGAAAGAATAGCAGAACCAATTCTATTATTTTTCTACCTGAAAGTTTCAAATGGTAGTAATCATGGATTAATATAGCATGATACAATAGACCCAAGTGAATTCTTACTCCTTGGGCTTGATACATCAAGCTACTTTTGCTTTTGCATCATCAAGAGTCGATCTTGGCAATGTCTCTGTAATTACCAAAATCATGTAACTTAGTTACCATATCTGATGCTTCCAATTTCATTGTAATTATGAACAAAGAAAGAAAAGTGGCTTTACAAGTACTAGTTTAATCCTGAATTGCTGAGTTGCCGTTTTATGACAGTGGAGGAAATAATTAAAATACAACTAGCACATCAATCAGGTCAGGATGTTTTACTCTGGAAACACTCAAACTCCCATACATTTTCAGTAAAATCTGCTTACTTGTGTTTTACAAGAGAACTACCCTCTGCATCCGCACAAATGATGCCATGGAGGTCTATCTGGAAGCTGAAAGTCCCATTCAGGTTTCAAATTTTTGCTTGGAAGCTATATTGCAATGGCATTTCCACAAGAGACAAGATGTACTTCTTAAAGGAAGATGGCAAGCTATGCTTACTTTGTAATACAGAAAAGGAGACAGCATTTCATCTCTTTTTCAACTGCCCTTTTGCAAGAGCAGTATGGACAGGCCTCCATATAAACCTTAACATAGAAGGATCTTCTCCAACATTGTTGCATATGCCATTTCAACAATGGATGATGCATCACACGTCAAATGTTCTATCAAAATATGAGAAAAATAAATATCTTCATGTTGCTGTTATTGCACTAAGACTCATGTGGGATGTGTGCAATAGAAGGTTGCATCATAATATAACACCTGATCTTTTGTAGGTTATCAGGAAAGCAAAATATTTTGTCATAAATAATGCACAACCTTCAACACAAGGGGTGATGACTATTCAGGACATGGGTCTCCATCCTCATAATCCATCATATACCCTATTCGTGGATGGATCCTTTATGCATTCTTCAAGTCGAGCTGCCAGCTCTTATGTGTTAATACAGAATTCATGTAGGGTTATAGCAGCAGCAGGACATAAAGTCTCAGCTCACCATCCCCAAGAAACAGAATGGAAATCACTCATGTTAGGGCTCCAGGAAGCCAAAAAGAGAAATATTAAAGAGCTATAAGTATTTTGTGATCCACAAGCAATAGTACATATTGTGACTACACCTTCTGCTATTCAGGACTGGAACCAAAAGTTGTACAGAGATAGGGTAGTGGAGCTTCAAGCCTCTTTTGTTATAAGTCAAATACACCATGTAAACAGAAGTACAATGGTTTAGCTCATCAATTAGCAACTAAAGCATGTAAGAGGGGAACAGATTTACTACATCAATTACCCCTCAATGGCCTTCATGTATCATCTTTCAAAAATCTAATTTAAGGTATTTTTTCTTGAAAAAAACAAAAGATGTGGCCCATAATAGAGTGAAACAGCAAAAACAGGATTACAGTGGCTGACCCCAACTAGTTGTGAACTTGTGATAAAGCATGGTTGAGTTGAGTTGAGTTGATCCAATTCAGTGACTTGGAGGAGCTTCAAGTTTTATTTGCGATACCTAAAAAAGAAAGGCAGGTTTATAATTTCTGACAACAATAGGCCTGAGATCATGTCTACACACCAGGAATGCATGTGGTACCTAAGGTGGGAATCCAATACGAGTCCACATTGTATCCAAACATTACCCTCTTTGTATGTAGCAAGTTTCATTTGGCATCCCTGTCACCAGGAACTTTGACTGGGTAGGCCCAGAAAGGGCTTAAACCAGCTACCAGCCAAATTGCATGTATAATAAATTGTTATAATAACAGTTTCTTGAAATAATACAGTATCCTTTAGGAGTTTATCCGGTCAAGATAAAATACCTTTGATGATTCATTAGTCAGAACCCCATGTGAAACAAGGTGAAAAGTTCCCTTACTTGACCCAGGGCATTGAAGTGCTAGAAACATGCTGTAGACCACTGAATACCAAGCTGTGCTTGACAGAACATCTTGTAGACAACCAAATACCACAAGCTCTGCTTACACCTCTGTCTTGATGCCTGCACAAATAAGAGTTTGGTATGCTCTTTTCAAGAGGAAGATCGCCAACAACTAATTTGTAACCATTAGAAACCAAATAAAGCATGCACTGAAAATTCCAATTCCCAACCTGTAGAACTTAATATACAACTTAAATCGCTTTTGTAGGATACCTTCTAGAAACATGTAAGCAATGGCATGTGAGCTATCAGAAAACATCACTAATGTCCACAGTTCCTTAAAAATATGATCACTTGTTCTTCACGTCCTTGAAATTGGCATACTCATTTTGAAACGTTCTTTGACAGAAACTGCACATGATAAAAGTAATGATAGGATCATCTCCAAGAATTTCCCATGATGTAGAAAATCAGACTCCACAAGCTGCAAAGTCAAGTTTTCACGAACTCATTGCACTATGTTTCTTTTTCCAACAAGAGCATGTCAATATTGATTACTGCTCTAACCAGTATACTCCAAGTAATGGCAGTTGGAATAACACCCTGGGCCAAGGCATTTTCCAATAACCTCACAGCATCAGATACCCTGTTAGAAGAACAAAGCCCATTAAGAGCTATATTATAGGATATGATATCCGGTTGCATCCCATCTTCTAAAATTTGTCTCCAAATCTCTGATGCCTTTTCACATTCTCTGGATTTGTAGAGGCCGTCCATTAGGGTGTTGTGTGTCACTAGATTTGGAGCACACCTCTTCTGTTTCATCTCTGAGTAGACCTGCAATGCTTCTTGCACTTTGCCTGCAGAGCAAAGACCGTGAATTAGAATGTTGTGCATAACTACATCAGGCTTTAAGCCCTTATCAAGGACTTGACCCCACAAATGGAGAGCCTCTTCTATCTTATTGTCTCGGCAGAGTCCATCCATCAAAGAGCTATAAGTGACCAGGTCAGGCTTCCAGCCTTTCCCCAGCATCTCTTTCACAAGAGTGGAGGCCTCACCAAATCTTTCTGCCTTACATAGACCATTAATGAAAGTGTTGTATGTAACAACAGTAGCAAAGCAACCATTACTGACCATTTCCTTAAAAACCCAGGCTGCATCTGCAAGTTTAGAAGCTTGAATAAAGCCGCTAATCAGTGAATTGTACATTTCAGAATTTGGTTTACAACCACGTTTCTTCATCTGATTAAAGACAAAAACTGCTTCATCTAATCTCCCTTGTCTGGATAGACCAGTAACCAATGAGGAGTAGGCAAAAACATTTAGATCCTCGTTTCTATCTTCTGCCTCCTTCAGAACCTGCAATGCCTTGTTTGAGTATCCATTCTTGCACAACCCATGAATTAAAACACCATAGGTTGTTGAGTCTGGAAGGCAACCATTTTCTGGTAAAAGTTCCCAGATGGAAATTGCTTCATCTACCTTTTTATTCTCAAACAAACCCCTAATCAATATGTTGTAACTAACAGTGTTGCAACAACTCGCCTTCTGCATAGATTCCCACAATCTAAAAGACTCATTAATCTTACCAGATCGACAAAAACCATTAAGCAGTGCGTTACAGGTGACTACATCAGGAGCCAAGCCACTATCAATCATTGCCATATAAATCTTTGAAGCTCCATCAACATTCCCTGACTCACATAATCCATGTATCAAAGTGCTATAAGTAAATGAATCTGGGCGACGCTCATTCCTCATCATTCGAGACCATATCTGTACACTCTCGTCAAACTTTCCACATTTACACAAACCATTAAGCGTAACATTGTATGTGACGACGTTAGGATAAACATTCGACGCTCTCAACAACCTCTCCCAGATCTCCATAGCCTTCGAGACGTCCCCGACTCTAAAATACCCATCAATCATAATATTATAGCATACTACATCAGGAGAAACTCCTCTATCGAACATTTCATCGAACAGCTCCAGTGCGTCCGACAACTTCCCGCTCTTAGAAAGGGCACTAATGAGGGTACCATAACTAAAGGCGTCCGGTTCGAAGCCCCTTCTCCGCATCCAATCTAACAAACCCTTGGCCTTATCAAACCTTTCTCTCTTACAGAGAATCTTGATCAGAACATTGTAAGTCTGCAAATTGGGAGAAATCCCAACCGTTTCAAAATACGCGAGAAACGACTCGACCAGGTCCCACTGGTTCGAACGAACGAAAGTGTTGAGGAGGGTATTGTAAGATCGAATACCTGGGTGGCAACCAAAAATTTCGTCCATCCGCCGAAAAATATCTAATGCTTGTTCGGGCATCGAATTCTCCGAGTACGCTTTGAGGACCGATAAAGCAACGTCTTCGGAGCACTTGCATCTCTTAACACGGATGAGTTCGACAACTCTGGTTATATAACCAACGTGTTTCGAGTCGGCAAGTCGACGGATGATGTGATGGAACACGGCAGGAGTGTGTGCGTAACCCGGATGGTGAGTCGCCGACTCGAAAAGTGAAAGAGCCGAAAGAGTATTCTTCTCTGCTTTGAGAAGTTTCAGAAGGTACTTCGCATGAAGAAATTTGGGGAACTCGGCCATCGAATAAAAACGAATTTTCAAAATTGTTTTTCATCTTTATGGCATTTTCTGTTTAGCTATGGTTGTCCAAGTGTGGTTACAGTCCACTGCTACCGGATAAACGATCGAAGACGACTGTTTGATTTCCGGCGAGTAGAGGATTTGGGAGGAAGAAGAAAACTCACGACGGCTTCCCTGATTTTAAAGCTTTGAAGAGGACAGAGGGAGGGAGAAGCGAAAAAACCAGAGGTGCAAGGGTAACCATGGCCGGTTCAGACCGGATTTACCATCAGTTGGGGTGGGTGCCAGCTCGGAAGGCGGGCATTTGTGTATAGTGGTAGTTTTTGACATTTTGTATGTTTATAATTGTGTGGTGTAAATCAGAAATCTGGATTGGGCCTGTCCGTATTTTTTCGTATAACCGTGGACTCAGGGTCCAATGCGGCCCAGATCCCAAGCCTGAAAAGAACGACCCAATTAAAAAGGCTTAGAGTCGAACTTTGAGCTTAAAAGAGCAAGAGCAATAGCAATACAAGTGTGTTGAATGTAGATTTAAGTTTTAGGGTTCAATAACCAATCAAGTGGTTATTTATCAAAATCACAGGATGTTTTTTTTTATTGAAACCTCATATTCCATTCATTCAAGAGATTGGTACAAAGAGATGCTAACCAAGCCAAATAAAGAATAGGAATACATTCTCAAGAACAAAATAAATAGATGGAATTAGGAGAATCATAAGAACTTCTGCAACCAAAGCAAAGCAAGGTGAGTTAACATCACTAACAGAAGTGGATAAGAACATCTCCAAACCACCATAACTGGCGAGCAAACTAACAAGAGGAATTACCAACCAAACCGAAAATTGATAGAGAAAATTACATAGCTACAGTAACTTCCAACCGCGCCAAAAAAAAAATTGTAGAAAGACACATCATCTGTAACTGCCATCCAAGCACACCGAATAACTGCTAATTGCAAGTTGTTTTCTAAAGAAAGCCGGAGAACTGTAACATCCATCCACAACGCTGGAGAATGGAACGTCCATTCATAATGCTAGAAATTGCCAAAAAAAGTTGTAACTACCATCCGGAAAATCGGAGAATTGAAACTACCATCCAGGACGTCGAAGTACTATCACAGCCATTTAGGATGCTGGAAAAACACATAAACAGAGAATGAACTATCGTCGGAGCATTATCTCGACCATCTAGCATTATCTTGGTCAACTAGGACGTCAGAATGCCCGGAGAAAGAAATCAAACAAAGAAAAGCATAGAAGATGAGAGAAACTGAGAAAAAAAAAAGGGATGATCCTCGAGAGATCTCAAGAGAAACAAAGATAGATAGATAAATATAGAGAGAGAGAGAGAGAGAGATGAAAACATAGGAGAGGGGAAACAAAGAGCTCGAGAGAGAAGGGGGGAAAAGCACAAAAAAGGGATAAACAAAAAGCAAAGGAAAACTTCTCTAGGAACAGAGAGAGACAAAGCGGGGGGGGGGAGTCACCCCTACCAAACAACTCTACGGCGGACTTCTGCGCTTCTGAGAGATCATAAGATGGTTTTTATTGCTCAAAACCCTTCCATTATCATATCTTTTTTGGCAGCATAGATTTTAAAACATTATAAAGGGTTCAACTATATCGGAAAGACATGATATCCAAAAATTTTGTGACAAATCAACCAGTATCATAAATGTGTTAACCAATCAGTGAAACACTGAAATTTATCAAAATTCAAGGATAGGTTTTGATTGATCAAAACTCTTCCGGTATCATGTCTTTCCGGCATCACAAATTTCCTCTATATATAATATGTAGCATTATATAATGCAAATATTGCAGGCTAGGCCATGCCTGAAGTGTTAGGCCCATAACTGACCTATAAATTTTCAGGCTTGTTGCGGTCCTGCCATTTTGCCAAGGTAAAAAATGATCACCCCTGCTCTAGGATAGTTAGATTAGGTTAAAGTCTAACCCAACCGTAAGAGTTGAGAGTCCAATCCCAATTCCATAGTGGATCGACTGGACCTAAAAATAACTTGAACATGGCTAGCTCAAGCCCGAGGTTATTATTCATTTTCTGCAGTCGGTGTGAATTGGGAAAATCTATGCTTCTAGAAAGACATGATACGGGAAGTGCTTTGATCAATCAAATTCTCCCCTCCTGGTGATTTTTGATAAATACCATCTGATTGCAGAATTCAAATTTGCTATTCACATGATGCTCTTCATGTCCACCTTATAGCATATTGTCGTGCATTGGGAACATTTCCCCATGAATAACAAAATATGATACAACATAATAAAGTGTTCTACACATACAATCCCAAAAGGCCAAGTTATAGGAAGAACAACAAAATGCTAATCATCTGGTTGATAAGGCCTCTTGCTGGTTGTAGCGGAGACTTGGGATTGAATCCTGACTGCACCTAAGTTGGGGGATGGAAAGAAGACATCACGCTTACATTAAACATTTGTAACTTGAAGCATTTATTACCATGGGGTGTCAATCTCTGTATTATTATTTTATCTTCTAATTGGGATTCAAGGAGAGGGAGGTTTTATGAGAGAGAGAGATCCATTATTCAAATTCCAAGATATACCACCACTCTTTCTTGAACATTAGGTATGTAGCCTGTAAAGGGCAGTTAGTGATTAGCCAACAAGCTCCAAATGATGCATAGTTCTCTCTATTATAATGAAAGCTTCTTATTTTGATTACAATATGCAAAATTTTGCATTGTACATGTTTGTATTTGCACTTTAGCCTTAATTTCACCTTGCCCATGAGCTCATCTCAATTAAAGATTTATTTATCTTGAAAGAATAAATCACTTCCAAGTACCTTTTTGTTCAGGGACATGATGCTAATACCAAGTTAATTTGCAAGTAGTTATTGGAGTATTCTTTGCACATTTGAGTTAAGTAATGGCAAAATCTATGTGTGTTCCATGGAAATTGATGCACCATAGTTCAAAGGTGAAGTGAATTATGATAAAGTAAAACATGAGCCAATAAAAAGTAAATAGACTATGTAACATCTTTAATGAGTTGGAATTTAACTTATAGCAAATATTCAAAATGGACAGTGACATTTTTAGCATTGTCAAAATTCTTTATGATAAGTACATATTGTGAAGCATGAATTCGTGAAAAGTAAATAGACCATGTGACATCTTTAATGTGATTGGTTAGAATTTTGATTTAACTTGGAACAAATATTCAAAATACACTATAATTAGACTCTAAAACATATAACTGATTTCTCAAAAAAAAATATATCTAATCAAAAGCAAAGGTGTTCAACATTGATTTAAGATGCAAAGCTTTATTGATAGAGCATTCTCCAAATAAAATAATATTACGTGTAAACAACAAAATTAATTAATGCTAATTTCCATTATGACGAACTCAAAATCATGAATATTTTCGTGTAAGATTCAAGAAAAATAAGATACCACAGTACAAGGTGTAAGAAGATACAGGGAAATAGAATATCACTGTCTTAGCCCTTGTTGAGGCTTAAGAGTACTTAAGATTCCACTAACAACAATCTCGAAATTAGGTGTCGATATGTAGTGAAAACTCAAAAATAAGATTGCAAGTTTGGTTGAGAAGCCTATAACTTGCATTGCTCTAATTAGGAAGTTCCACTCACACTAGCATTAAGGTTTGGCTAAGTCTAACTTTAACATAAAAACACCTATCCATTGTTTTACATTATTCATAGAATGAACCACCATATAAACAAAAACTAGCGGGGACCCGTGTGATGCACGGTATTTATTAAGCAAAAGCTAAATAATAGAAAGGGTAATTTACTAAAATACCCCTTATAGTTTCAATGATTTACTAAAATCTACCCTATAGTTAGCATTTTACTAAAACACCACTTATAATTTGCAATGGATTTAATCAATCTTCCCCATTAGATGACAGTGGAAAATGATAATGTTGACTCTAATGTTCATTTAAACAAATTTAATCAAAAGAAAATAAAAATAAAAATACAATTTTTGCCCTTAATAAGATACGGGCAACCACTCTATTGGCTATATTTGGTCAATTTTATTTTCTGTACAAAAAAATGTTAAGGGTATTCTTGGAATAAAAAACTATGGGCCTCATGGCAAAACAAACACTCCTTAATGAAAGGTTGATTAAGTAAATGAGCTATCAAATATATGGTAGGTTTAAGTAAATATGTAAAACTATAAGGTGTGTTCTAGTAAATGACCATAATAGAAACACATAAGAATATACAATTATTTTATATTTTCAACATTTTAAATAATTAATAATAATTCAGATTTATATACTACTTTTAATAATTTTTATTTATAATACAAAAATAACAATAATTAATTTCAATTAGGTTTATTCATCAAACTGGTGAAATCGACCAACCTGATCAACTCGACCCGAGTTGATCGGTTTTCTAGTATTTTTGGTCGACTTTGGTTAAAAAATTTTCCAATTTGACCAAGTTGGATCAATTTCACTTTGGCCACTTGTAAATTGACCAAAATTGAACGACCTAACCATGGATATATATTAATATTTTATATTTTAAATATAATTTTTAATATGAAAAGTGGAAAATTTTCCCATATTTCTTAGTCTAAAATGTTTTATATCATAAATCTAATCTTTAAAAATTATTTTTATTAATTGCATTGTAATTTTTAAAATTTAATTTAATTTTTAAGTTTAAATATTTTGAATTGATTGACCAAACCAAAAAATCAACCCAAATCGATACAACTTGAGTGGACCGATTTTCACAAAAGGCCAGTCAGTTTCAGCTAACCAACTCCCCAACCTGACTAGGTCAATTTGTTTGGCCAAATAGCCTACGACCAAACCAACTCATAAATTCAGTTAAATTAATAGTCTCATCTCTGACAAATAACAATAGTTTAATCTCTTGAAAGTTTTCTGTTAAATAACAAAACAAAATAAATTCATACATAATCATTGAAAATGCATTTATCACAAAAAACAATAAATAATTACTGAAATATAATAAATACAGATTAAGAGTTTGAAATTATTATTAATAAATATTATTTTTTTGAAATTTTTTTCTTGAATTATTACTTGATATAATTGAAATTATTTGTTTACAACATTAGGTAAAAATATTAATTTATTATTAATTTCAATATTTGTTATAATTATTTTTCTACTTTTAGATTTTTTTTTAAATTTATTACATAATTTATTTATTTTAACTATTTAAAATCTAGTTATGTTAAATATTTAGTTATTTAAATAATTAAATAATATGTAAAATATTTAAATTTTAAAATATTAATTATTTCTTGAAT